CGGAGGGGGGGCCGGGGCCGGGACTCGGGCCCGGGGGCACGCCGCCTGACCCCCTCTTCGCCTCTAGGTTCTTCCAGGTGTACAGCGCGCGGGCCCTTGCCCCCCCAGCCATGCCCGTGGACTTGGCTGTGCGTCTTTGCCTGAGCCACTCGCCCCCCATCCGCAAGCTGCTGAACTCCTATGAGGAGCTGCGGGGCAACCGGGGGTGCAAACCCCTCCGATCCTGTCTCAACCAGAAGCTGAGCGCAGAACCCGAGCCCGAGCGGCGAGATAGCACCAAGAGCTCCAAGGGCCAGAAGAAGAAGAGAGTTGTGTTTGCTGACATGAAGGGGCTGTCGCTGACGGCTGTCCGCTTCTTCTCAAAGATTGAGGAGGACCTCTGTGACTTGCAGCATGCCCTGTCTGACCTTGCCTGTTTCCGACCTAGGCTGCGGGACTCACGCCCAGAAGCGTGCAGGTATGTGCTGGACTTCCCACAACCCTCTGCGGACTATGTGAGTTTCCGCAGCCGCCTACACAGCAACCTTGTCTGCCTGGAGAACTGCCTGATCCAGGACCGTGTCCTGTCAGGGACAGTGAAGGTCAGAAACATCGAGTACGAGAAGAAAGTGATGGTCCGCATCACCTTCGATGGCTGGAAGAGCTTTCGGGACATCTCCTGCCAGTACATGCATAGCACGTACGGCTCAGCCGACACAGACACCTTCTCTTTTGAGCTTGCCCTGCCCAAGCCATCCGTCTCCCGCAGGGCCACAGAGTTCTGCATCTCCTTCCAGTGTGGACAGAAGACCCACTGGGACAACAACCACGGGAAGAACTACAAGATCTGCCACGTGGGCATGGTCCGCCCTCCGTCCCATGCTGTGAAGAGTGCCAACAGGGCCTGGGAGCATCTGGGCACCTCTCGAGCAGCCGCCCTGGTCCTTTCCCACCTGCAGACCTGGCGGCGCTCAGAGATCCAGGCTCCGTATTGGTAGGAAGGCAGCATGGGGAGAGCTGTAGGTCCCTTCTGCGCCCCAACTTTGTACGGGGGTCTTTGGGGAGGGGTCAGCTGCAGAAGATGCCGCTCACAGTTTTGTTAGCTCCTGCATCTGTCTGACCGGCTGCTGTACGAGCTGTGCAGTCCCCACGGGAGCTCCTTCACCGCTGGCTCCT